AAGTATTTGTCAGTCCAGGCAGGGTTAAACCGACAGTTTTCATTGTCAATTTTGCGCTTTTGGAGTGAGAAAGACATGCTGTTGTTGCATCATATATTACGATGATTGTTTAATGTGTTTACATCACGGTGCATTGCGGGTTAAATATTGCTAGGCTACTAGGAGTGTTGCATTCACAGTCTACACTACGCTGTAGGAATTTTTAATTTTTTAAAAATTAATTAATGAATTAATTTTTTGCGTTTTCTCTGTGTTTCTGCCAGGACCACGGGCAGGGCCACTCGCAGGTTGCTTCTGGGCCGCATTTGGCCCGCGGGCCGCCATTTGAATAGGCTTGCTCTACACCGTCACTTTATAGCCCAATAACGGAGTGAGTTTAAATATTTCGATTTCGCTCCGAAATAGTTTGTATGATTTGTCCCTTGCTTGCATATTAAACTGGTCTAACATTTGACCAGCTTTCATTAAAAGAACAAACAAACAAACAAAAGCATATCAGAACATTTGGGTCAGCGAGAAAGAAGAAACGATGACATGTACTACGGAACTCTAACCGCACTTATGTAGAAGAAGGGGTGGTGCTATGGGGCTGTTATAGAGACAGAATCTTTGCTCTAAAGCTCAGTTCAGTAACGATGAGTAACACTGGACACTCAGTAAAATGCCACGATCTAACAACCATCTGGGATAAGGCGCAACAAACATGCATCCCGTGTGCGAAAACCCCTATAAAGCCAGGTAGGTCAAATATTATATTATATTATATTATATTATATTATATTAATATTCATGTAGGTCATGAAATTACCCCCAACTGTGGGTTTGATGATGACGGAGGGCGACACGAGGCACCAACAAAACCGTGCAAGACAAACACTTTTAACAATGGCAGCAGCCTCCACTGCACACTCTGTAGCCTGTGTCCGTTTCAGACTGAGAGACCTTGCAACACAACAGCTGACACCGTTTGCGGCAAGGTGCCTGTTACGCAAAGGTAAGACAACAAGCACATCACCGTGAGAAACAGGTAAACAGCTGAGGGGATGTGATGGTCTCTCTGAACCGCAGGGGATTTTCATCAAAGTGTGTGTGTGTGTGTGTTTCACTATCTCTTTTACGGCTTAATAAGCAGGCACAATAAGAGCGCTTTCCTCTTAAAACTCTCGCTGTTTTATCTACAGACTTTCATTCCTCCCCACCCCTTTTCTGTTTTTCTGCAGAATCCCGACAACAGATTTCCCTGTCACAGTGAGTAGGCTTTTTGCATTTAGTGTAAATTGTAAATTTTACCAGTAATAAATAAATATATAGGGGTTGCCTGTCTGTGGTAGTAGTGGTACTAAAAATATGAAACACAACAGAAAGAAGCAACAGAAGATATTTGTGGAGAGCTGGTTAAGAAGGAGTTTCTTCCTCATCAGCAACAGCCAAAACATCCATTCTGTTTTCATTCCAGACTCTGGCATATCAAGGACCTAACTTGACACCAACCTCACCACCATCACGTTCTCACAATGTGTCAAGGGCAGCCTGTAAGTTACGCGTGCACTTCACTGTACACCTGAGACACCTTTCTTGACAGTTACATTTAAATGTAACCTGGACTTTTTCCTGTGTCTGCAGGGGCAGTACCATTAGCCATTTTAATTTCCATTGTGCTCGTTGCCTTGTCTGCTTATGTGTTTGGTCTCAAACGGAAAAGAGGTATGTATACCGAAACTAGACGATCGAAGATAAACAAATGTGCACACATCAAGGTCTTGGAAACTTAAGAAACGACATAAAAGCTGACCACTGGGTTTATAAAGAGAAGTTGCCATAAAATGTTACAGAATGTAATTTTACAACCAATATAGTAGGGTTATTTTAAAATAACTTTAAAATACCCTCTAGCTTCAAGCTGGTGAATATGATTCTGACACTCTCTCTCCTCTGCCTTATGTAAACAGCAAAGGCTTTTTGCAGGCAACCCTCATATATAAATGACGGATTCGCCCCCCTGACAGGTTCATCTAATGGCAGTGACGTAGAGGACATACTTTGTGAGTCGAACTTAATGTTATCTCAAAATATACAACGCCTATCCAAACCACTGTCTAGTGAGGGATAAAAGTGGGCGGAAACTGCCATTTTGTGTTCCTGTTGACGAATGAAAGTCTGTTTCATTAACCTACTGACATCATTCATTGATGCTCTTTTTCCCCTTTCAAATGCAGGTGCAGACATCCTGTCTGCACCTCTACAGACCGTGCTGGACAACTTGGATGTTTTGGAAGAGCTGGTGATTTTGCTGGATCCAGAGAGCCACGTAAGAAAGAGCACAAAACATCTGGCGTCGCACTGCGCCTTCCCCTCCACCTGGATTACTTACACCTACTCTATGAAGGACAGCAAAAGCCCCCTAAAAGCTGTGCTGGAGGGGGTGACCTGCAAGAACCCCGACTGGACTGTAGGGCACCTGGCTAAACTGCTCAAACACATGGAGCGTAATGACGCCATAGCTGCTCTTGCAAAACTTAAAACAAATAAGACTGAAGTGTAGCGACTGTTTAGCCCGACTCCCAAAAAGGCTGCTACGAGCACGGAGAGAAGCGGAGCGATAAAAGGCATGCCTTATGCGTGCATGTTGATGACGGGGGAAGTCAAGCATTCCATAAAAAATTAAATAGCTTCTTCCATATTTGCAGCTTCATTTGTTATTACGTTTGAATAATTAATGTATTATTACCTACCTCCTGGAAAACATTTAACCTCGACTGCTGTATCCCAGATAAACTGCTTAACACGTGCATGAAGGACAAAGCACAGAATCAGAATTTTAGCCAGGCTTTATCTTTACCCATCCAGCTAACGAGATGCCTTTTCCTCCAGTGAACTCAACCAAAATTCCACAGTTCCTGTTTTCCCCACCATCATATTTACCGCGACAGTATTCTTGTCAAAATAGAACAAATGAGTAATGTTTTTTTTTTAAATGTTAATCTGTTTCCAATTGTTGTTGCCTTTATAATACTATTGACCTATGCAAATAAAATCATTCAATCAGTCATTTCATCAAACATCTTAACATCTTTATTAAGCAAATAACATTATAAATAAAAAAAGTGCATAGAAAAATTAAACAGGTTTAGAAATATGTATACAAATATTTACAAACTCAGGGTTTATTTGTACATGGTAACAAAGACGTAAATTTAAAGAGCACATATTTTCTCATTTTGATGTCTTTTACACTTACGTTAAAATAACCCTACTATATATATATTTATATGTATATTTATATATATGTGTATATAGAACATACAGCTTTCTTAACAGATTCTGGGCGAGATGGTCATGATAACTTCAGGTTTTGACTAGTGCCTTGCATCCTTCATGGCACGCACGCACGCACACATACATAGAAATGACAAACATTTCCAAATACACACACACACACACACACACCTGGATATTAAAACCAAGCTATTTTTTTTTTTAAATCATCATCCTCTCTTTTTGCATCAGTATTCCCAAACATCTGTCTAAACAGCTGAGGTAGAATCCTTGCAAGGAGTTGGGAGTGACTCTGCTCTTGTTATCAGCTAGGTGATTGACACAAGTTAACCTGGGCTCCATCCCAGTGATTGGACATGCAAGGTGGGGGGAGGGGTGGGTGGGTGATAAAAGACAAAACATGACATAATTTTGGAAAACATAATTATGGGCTTGAGTAGGCAAACAGTGCTCACTTTACTCCTGTGGCTGATTCTAAGACCATCAGTAATCTACATAAAAAAAATAAAAGTAAAATAAAATAAAGATTCTTTAAAAATACCTGCTTTAGAACAATCTGTCATAAAGGCTTAATCGCACACCACAACTGCCCCAAAGAGAGAAAAAAAAAATTCAAGTAAGTTAGTGAAACAAAAGACATGATGTGTAAACAAAGCATACATATGGGAAAGGGGAAGGGGGAAGGGGGGGTTCACTAGACCGCCACCAATTTGTACAAAGCACAACCTTTAACCATTTAAAATAGAAATCAAAACATGAATAAATATAACTACCAATTTGAACAGTGTGTGAATTCAATTAGCCTCACCAATGACACCACTGAACATCCACCTACAACAATCATTATTTTAAAGGCAGCAATACCTAGAAAAGTCACGCACCTACACTGTCTTCTCGACCATCGCGGTGCAGGAGCTCAATGTACATGCTCAGTAGCAATGCCTTACACCAGTGCCCTCCCTGATCAAGAGAAACTGCAGAAGATTTCACGAAGATGAAGATAATTTGGATGTTTGATGGGTAATTATGTGCAACTGCAGGGCAGCAAAGTCTTATTGCAATAGGTAACGATGAGCATCTGCCATGAGAGTATTAAAATATATATATTTTTAAAAAAAGAAAGAAAGAAAGAAAAAGGAAGGAAATCTTCAATTTTGGCTTGGGTAGTGTTTTGCTACATACACTTTACATGAAAAAAAAACAACCAAAGAAAGAAAGAAAAAAAAATACCAAGAGGACGTTTCTATGACACTGTTTTTCTGCTCTGAAACCAGACACTAATTTTACACTCAAGACAGGAAGAAAGTGGGTGACGAATAGCAGGTTTTGAATGTGAGATTTTAAAGATAACAACAGGAGGACTTATAAGAGTGCATAAATTTAAGATCTCAGCAGGGTAAAGAAAGAGCTAAACAATTCCTGATTCGCAAGACATCTTAGTCCAACTAAAGACAAAGCTTTTAAAAAGCTTAGCACCATGTTTTTGTTTTGATTTTCTGTTATTCACAAACAAGACAGAAAAAAGGAAAAAAAAAAAGGGAAAGCGTTAACATAAGAAGTACTGAATCGTACAAATAAAGGTCTGGGTGATGTATGGCTTGAGAACTGACTTCACAACTACAGGGATGGAGCTGTAATGTAATGTGACAGATAAGGCTTGATCTGAGGTTATCTGCTCAAATCCAGAAACTCTCCACACTTTGAAATCTCCAGTTGTCACGAGCACCCAAAACTACTTCCTCTGATTTAATTACAGCTGCAATTACATTATTCGGGGAGCCATACCTTTTAGTACACTGTGAGGCAAGAAACTCTGCAAAGTTTGTTTTTTGTGCTGGTTCTCATCCTCTTCCGCTTGACCCCCCAAAAAAAAAAAAAACCCCCAAAACACAAACAAACCCAAAAAAACAAAAAATGTCCTCACTTCTCACTAGCCATGTTTCTGGCCAGTCTCATAGTGGCTTAATCCCCCTGCTGGGCAGACTGACCGCAGCCTCCTCAAGCCCCAATCCAGTGTCACCACAATTTAAGGCTTACTAGTAAACAGGATCCTCCCCCTTTTTGTATCCAAGAGATTTCTTAGTTGAGGAAACGACGACATCTCCGGGCCCCACAGTTACAGTTGAGTTTGTTGCTGGCGTCTTCGATGGGGAACTTGTAGTCGTAGGTGAGCTCCTCCCCCCTGTAGATTTTCCTAAGAGCGAAGATGACGATGTGCTTCCGACCTTCCACGTTGATCACTCGAGAGTAGCAGTTAGGTTCACATGAGTGGTTGATAAACCTCGCCGCGTTGCCATGCATAGTCGCATCCACTACGTCGAAGTCATCGATGCGGAACATGTAACAACCGATACCCTGCAGGGAGCAGAAATGAAACCTGTTGGTGTTTTTCATGAAATCTCTCAGCATGAATCGCCAGTTGCTATGAAATACCTGACCAAAACTAGAATGACAATGATGAAGATGCACAAACCTTCCCATCATAGTACTTCTCCCTTTTATCAGTGAGCACGGAGCGAATGACGATGCCCGCGTATTCGATAACCATCTCTCCTGCTTCAATGTTCCTCTTGCAGAAAAGACCACGGCCGTGGATAGCAGACCTACAGGAAGTGTTATCAAGATGAAAACTGATTGTAAAGCAATAGGAAGATATTTAAAAAATCTATACAATAACACATTTGTATATTATATTGAATTCTGGTTGTGTTTACTGACCTCGAAACGATTTTATGTGCTACACGGCGCTCGAAAATCTATCAAATGTTTTAGTACGACTTTGCTGAGCTACGAATCCGCACCGCTTGATGGATTGTCGGAGCATTACGGCTATCATAGTCAGGAGCCTCGTGGAGTGATACGTACTGTGCTTTAACATAATATTACCGTATTGTGTGTGTATAACCTCTGTGGATATTATACATGGTTATGCTGAGGATATGTTATTGTTATTGCAAATTTTCTAATGTATATCGTGATAAATATTTTTGGTCATATCGCCCTGCTCTACCCTACATGCTCTTTGTCACTAGATTTTGACACTTTTCTCAGGATTGCCCCCACCCCCACCACTTCTCCTTTTGTGCTTCCTGGGTAGCAGTGACATTACAGAGTGACAAAGCTGTATTGTGCAGTGAAAAAATAGTTTTCTGTTTAACAAGACCTTCTTTCTTAGAAATTGAGTGAGGTCACAGCGCAGCCAATGTCTTGCAGAAGTACTTGCAAAACGTGTTAAATGCGGCCAAAGTATAAACAAAGAGTAGGAATGTTTTTGTAGTATCTTTAAAAAGCTCTCGTTGAACAGGCTGTCTCCGTAATGTCTGGCCAAGGCACTGTTTCATTTCCCAACGGCTGCTTTTTCTTCAGCCTCACTAGGATTAACATGAAACAGATGTTTGAACAGCTGTTAGCAAAAGCAGAATTGTTGTGCATGTATGCCAGCTATGATTCATTTGTGTGGAATAATGGTTTTGTGTGACTCTGTTGTCTGGCTAGCAATAATGACACATTACTGCCAAAGAGCTGTTACTTGCATTCAAATGACTATCTATGTATCACCCTTGTTTTATGAAAGCTAATGCCATTTAAGTCATGTGGTTCTCATCACCACAGGATGGTAAGAGCTTTATATTGTAAGGAAAAGACCCTACAATAATAGAGAGGAAACCCCAGTTGGTGACAGGGGGAAAGAAAAACTCCTTTTTAATATACAGAAACCTCTGGTAGAGCTAAAGGCTAAAGTGTTTTCTCCAACTTGCTTTTCCATTAACATGATCACAGATACAATTCTATACTACACTGTAAAAAATAGTCATACATATTAAACTTAGACAGGTAAACTGAACAGAAAATGTTTTAAAGAGTCATCCATACTGGAACAAAATAAAACAAACTGGACTTCAATGCTGAATATTCATTGAACATCACTGAAGGATGCTTTTTTCAGTTTTGAATCCTCCTGCTCACGCTGCTCTTGACAGGGAATGCTTTGGTTTTCTCTGTTAATCTTATAAATAGGCAATTCTTTGGAATCAAACCAAAGTGTGAAAATGATAAAAGATTCCAAAGAGAGACAAGTCATATCCTGTGTTGGTTTTAAAGAGATGGAAGATGACACAGTTAGAGCTCTGAGTTCATTACATGCAACAGGAACTTAAATGCCATACTGGCATTAAGATTAAGAAGTGAAACCAATTCTGAGGTTTTGTTTTTTTTTTTAATATTTGTGGCTTTTGCAGCCAAGGCTATGAACATGATGTTGTCAACTGAGTATTTTAAGCATTGTATAACAATGCATTTTACTATTTCATGTAGCAATGATGAATTACAAATGTAACTCGCCTGTACACTCCTACTGCCTCCTTGGAAGTCTTTTTCAGATGTCTGAAGCGCATGGCCATGGGCAACTCCAAACTGGTGGCTCGTCTGATAAAGGGAGCAGAAATTAATTGACCCAAAACTTCAACACCACTGTTTTGCAGCATACAAAAAAAAAAAAGACAATAGTCAATATATTTATGAAAAAGTATATTTTAGTTTTGAAAAAAAAGTGGTGTGCAGTTACAATATGAAGCTGCACAACATATTTCAGAGAAAAGCGGTTTGAAAGTCCTAATATGGCATTACAATCCAGGAAATATAAACTAAAGCCTGACCTCGTGGACTTCAAAAGAACCTCGTCTTCCTCATCATCGTAAGGCCCAATGTCAGGAAGCTGTCTGTGCTGAGAAGCCAGGAAGTTGAACATATCAAATGTAGACTTCCTGTTGGAGCAAATAAACTG